GGTCTGCAGTAGATTTCAGAGATTCTCTTTATTGCAAGTAAAATCTGATGTCAAAGTAGCAATGAATTACTTTTGCAGTACTCAAATAAATAATATTTCCCACAGTGGACTAGCTAGTTTAAGGACACATGTCTGGAAAACATATAAACATGCACATTCCTGTAATGCCAAAATGTAATTCTCCAGGATCACTGTTTCCTTCAATTGACTCCACGGAAACTTACTAGCATACGAGGAGTCTTTACAAGTGTGCACATAAAAAGTCAACATTTGAAAGCACAGCACTGTAAACAGCAAGACACTCACCGTCTTTGGTACAAGCTGGCACACATTTATTTGATGATCTCTTTGGCCTTGACCTTGGAGGTAGTCCTTGCCCCATCATTCATATACTACATTGAGAGTACAAGGTTGCTGGTAGAAAGAAGTGCCTGACATAACACCTTTCTTTGTACTCATCTGTTTAAAACACTAGTATGTTTGTCCATAAACTGTGAAGATGTACTCAAAATATTTCAGAGAGAATTTATTGCTATGCAAACTTCCCAGTCAAAGCACATGAAGACACATTTAGTTCCTGTTGAAACAGACACAGATGTCAATTTAAGGCATGTGGTAAAAGCCCTATCACTGACCATCGAGTATCATCTGAAAACCTGTGTCTGGCCTTCCAAAACAAAATACCTCTGAGTTCAATATTAAAGCTTGCTTTGGCAGATAGATTCCATATCAGGCAGCCATTTAGGAAAATGCCAGCAGAGAGGTTGAAAGCTCTAGTTGGGTATATTGATGTCACCACCAATAACTAGATTCATTTGCTTCCAAAAGTGGTCAATTGGGTTCCATATCCCCAATCCTGCATTTACTGGTGTCCTCTGTTGAACTTTCTGGAATGTCCAAGGCAGAGGTAAGAAGCTGAGAGGCAGTGGGACCCTTTGCTCCTCAGGGGCCTCTACAGGTCTCAGGTACACCCTATCCACACCAGGTCGCTGTTGGTAGGCCCTTTCATCCCTGCCTGTGTGTCCCATAGCAGGCCTTCCCACCTCCTCCTTGCTTGCAATGAAGACTAAGGACTCTGTCCTCTGGGACATTTTAGGAACCTCCAAGATTTAGTGAGTGCTTCCAAAGGACCTCCTGACACCTTGCCCTAAACCTTCCCCTGTCACACTCCCTGCCACACTAGCAATGACTTTGAGGCCTTTCTTCTGTGGTCATGAAACCTACCACCAGACCTACCCAAAAGCCATCTGAATCTCAAAAATCTCACTGTTAATGTGGGTGATCTTAAGAATTTCAGTTTGAATGTTTAAGAGAATGTTTCCTTGTTTTATTTCTGAGTGTTTGATGTTTTGAGACAGAGTCTCACTATGTAGCTCTAGCTGTGCTTAAACTCACTCTGTAGATTATGCTGGCCTCAAACTCACAGATACCCACCTGCCTTTGTCACCTGGGTGCTGAAATTAAATGTGTGTACCACCATACCTGACTTCAGTGTGGTTCTTTATATGTGCACTATAAGTCTTCATTGCCACCCTGCCTTCTGAGTATTTTTGGTGTGGTCTTAAGTCTTGCCCATTGCCATAGAACAAAATTATCCCTCCCTCTTATTCCTACAACACCTCTCTGTTTGCATTAATCTGTTATCTAACTGGGAAAAGCAGAGCAGTAAGGAGACACAGTGGTTACGGTTACTGCATTTCCCACTGCTCTTTAGATGTCCTTTTACACCTCAGGTCACTTTTAGACCTACTTTTACCCCACTTATGTCTTCTGTTAAAATGTCTGTCCTTTCCTGCTACCATCTCACACCAATAACTTTCAGAAAATTGTGTTTAAAATGCCAAGTAGTGCTTGTCCTTCTGTGACAGATCGCAGGGACCTGCCTTCCCTCCAGCCCTGGGATATTAAGCCCCATTTATCACTGTTCAATAATTTTAAGTGTTGTTAAATGCTGGAACTGTTAGTGTGATTTTGAGCTTTCCTTGACTCTACTTTAAATCTCCTTTGAATGTTTTCTGTATGTGATTCAGACTCTCAAGACCAGACTTTGTCACAGTCCGCCTGTCTGCTTGTGTCTGTCAGCCTTATGTGGTTCCCATTCAGAAGCCTACCTAAATGCCTTGGTTGTACCCTAGTGACTTGGAACAGTGCACAGATGCTTTGTGCATTCTGCAATGCACAAATATATGTATGCCAGCTCCACTTTCAGAAGGTGTTTTACGTGCCAGGGTGTTTTCAAATAGCTTTAAGAGGGTTTTGTCAGGGTTTGCATTTTGGCACTGCGGCTCTGGATATACACCTCAAAAGGCTCGACAGCTGTTTCACCTCGTCAGAGGGCAACAGTTGTCCTGGTGGCCCTGCAGGATGGCCTCCATTGATGCAGTTCACAATATTCTATTAGCATGAAGAGTTCTGAAGTCATTTATGCAAAGACATTTGCTGCACCCCCATTCCTACTGTATGAGCTGGCACCTTGCTTCTCTTTCTGGGTCAGCTTGCCCTCTGCTGTTGTAGTGTAAAGTCCGCTAGAAGAACATCCCTTGTTGTCTGTTCTTGCCAGTTTGGGATCTGGGGTTTCGTTTTTTCATGACACCCTGGGCTAAGTTGGTAGCTTGAAGAGGAGATGGCACCTGAGACAGCAGCTCATAGAGCAGCGTCTGCTGTACCTGCAGAGGAAGCAGTCCTTGTTGTAGCACCAGTGACAGCAAGGGGCAGTGGAAGAGTCTTTGGGCCACACAGGCTGAGGCAGAAATGATAGGGGGAGCAGGAGGAGAGGATGCAAGAAGGAACAACAGAAAGGCAGAGGAGGCAGAGCACTGATGCTGAAGAAAGACAGAAGGCTGTGAGGATCCAGGGGTGGAAAAGGGTGGGATCTACCTCCATGGAAGGGTTTGAGGAGTCTGGAAGGGCCAAAGGTCTTGGCATTCTAGGTCTTGCACCTGTGACAAGATTCCCCTCTCAGGGGCCAAGGGTCCCAACACTGTATACCCTAGAACCTGGATGTTAGGCTCAAGGACCTGAGCATTCCAAGGAAGAAATGTAAAACTTGGGAGTGCTCCCTACTTCTGCTCCACTCTGCTGCTAGAAATCAGGGATTGCAAAGGCTAAAATGTCCCACAGACACTGGGTATTAAATTCTTGAGAAATAAGTCTCCAGCAAAATGTTGGCAGCCAAGAGTCTCTGGATTATTAAGCATTAAAAAGAATTTAGTACTATTATTCTGTTTAATGGAAACAATATTAAACTTCCCTCAAACATTTCTTTATATCCATACATTAGTTGTTCTCTCAACAGTTACAAGAAAGCCACCATTTGAAGTAGATGTCAATTAACCCCAGAACCTCTAATGGTCAATATGAAGAGAATAAGAGACTTGGATTCCCCCAAGCCCACAGAACCTGTCATCTAAAGCATGAATCTGTCCATTCCAAGTCTCTGGAACCATCAGGGAAGAAGGGAAGGAACAATTGTAAAAGTCAGGAGTGATGGTGATGGATGTTTGTCAGGAAATTCCATTTGCGGGGCATGACAGAACTGTTGCCTACATGAGTTCCATGGTAGCTTTGCCCACATGTACAACACATACACAATATCAAGCCAGGGAAAAGCTTAGCATGTATTTGGAAGTAGTTCATGAATTTGCAAGCCTAGTTGAGGAGCACTTAGCAAGTGATAGTTATTGGGAAAGAACCCAGCTTTGTAAGGGATTTGACTCCTGAAAATTAGCCCATTCACCAACAGATATTCTTAAAGCCGTGCACATATAGATACCATTACATGGTCTTAGTAGGATATTAAAAAGTACTTGTAGTTGGGAGGGAAATATGGCAGGAGTGGAAGAACAGAAATTTTATAATGGGATTGATCGGAGCAAATTCTATACACGTATGAAATTGTTGAAGGATAAAAGTGGCTAAAGGCCATTGACACTGAGCCTATTGATGTGTTTTCAATTAGATTCCATCTGGCATAAAGAAAGAAGAAACTACAACTAGTTGCCTTCCAGCCACCACACATAGGTCATACCATGTATCTGCACACAGACACACAAAGAAATACATAACTGTAATTTCAAATTCTTAAAAATATATTGAACAATACACTAATTTAGGAATATATTCTTGAGTTTGGGGACATGATTACTTCACAGAAAAGCTTATGCCTGGAGAGTTTAACAGATTGCAAAATTCTTTCATTTTTGACACGTGGCTAAAACTATGTAAAATGGGTCTGCTTTGCACAAATACCAGAGGAAAGACACACACAGGCTAAAATAACATCGTATACAAATCTGCTGAATAATTTTATCCATGTAGCATCTGTATCATCAGGATATTATTTGATTTAGACATGTAATATTTCATTATTTTTTCACTTTCAGAAGTATTTCTCCATTAAAAAAATCCTTACATTAAATGTCAAGTGCAACTTCTTGGGCATTGCCCTGATGCAGTTAATTTTCCACTTTAACTTATTTTAAGGAAAAAAGTCAGGAAACATTTGCAAGAGACACTGGCAATAGATCCAGCAAGTTCTGTGTGTTCACACTTCTTTATCTGGGCATACCCTCTGCTTGTTATATCCAGGTTAATTTTTGTAGATAGATTGATTTAAAAGTCTTTAAACTAAGTACAATGTCTGACCATGAAGAATTCTCTCTGACAATAAAGAAACGTTAAAAACTAGGGATAAATAAGTGAACTCAGACAAATACATGTCTAAAATCCTACCAACCATCTTTAATATAATAACTTATCAAGAATATCTCTATAATAGCATATGAAGAAAATTCAAGAATAATGCTGTCAAATATTACAAACTAATTATTTGTGGAAAGAGGGCATGGGGGAAGATACAAGGAAATGAAGCATGAAAACACTTCTAGACAGTTTCAGGGAAGTCATCAGTCACAGTGTCATGGTGGCAGTCAAGTCAACTAGCTACAGTGACATCATACTTGTTGGTATAGCAACATGAATGATCTGACAGTACACAGAATGCCTCTGTTACTAGTCACAGGTCAAAAGGACACAAGAGTTAATAAGCAAAGACAACTCATCTAACTTGGAGCAGTTATTTCAGAGGATAAGAAAATGAGCCTGGACAGGTAGAGTTTTAACGTTTGACCACAAAATTCATTAAGTTTTTGGTCCCAAGCAGTGACTCAAATTAAGATTCTGATGTAGGGAACTTGAACTTGGGGTTTGGGCACACCTAGGATTCCTAGGATTCCTGTTTGACATGTTTGCTCCACTGCCTAGTGCCATTTACCTGCAGACTCTGAATTCATCAGAGCAGCTCTGACTGTTCTAATCCTAGACAAGGCTGCAGATTTGGGTATTTTCACAGGGTTGAAAATTAAGCACCCAAAGATCAATCCTGAATGACGACAGGTTTTCCTCTCCCTCTGAAAACTATTTTCAGGAAAAGGGTAAGAGATGACAATGAAGAGGACAACTACGATGACCCTCATTCAAAGAGGAATAAGAAGGACCAGGCCTTCCAGGACCCTCGCACTATAGAGGTAGGAGCAATGGCCACCCAGCTTCTCTTTTTGACTCATTGCTCACTCTGTGGCATTTATATCTATCTCCACGATGGCAAGAGAACCCTCCCAGACACACTGATGAAAGTCTTCTCCTTGGCTGCAATGGTTTTGAGACAGAGTAGGATTTTAAGTGAGGGCAGAAGCATAGATTTACTGCACAGGACAGAGACAGGACCCATAGAGATGCTTTCCAAACCGAACCAGGAGGAATGGGGTTCCAGAAATTACCTCACCTTCCAAATAGGGAGGGAGAATCGAACCCCACCTACTATTGTTAGAAAAGACAAAAACGTGAAGAACAGAGTGACAGGCTACTAACTGCAATGTTCTTCTTGCTTTCTCCCTGAAAAATCGGAGAGCAAAGTGGGGTTGTGTGAAGGGACATGGGAGAGCTTTCGGGATGCTTGTACGGAAGAGCTGGCATTTCAACTTCACAGCCTTAACTTTAACAACCAGTAAGGGGTAACACAGCATGGTTTGAATGGAAGCATAAGTGAGGAGGGAGCATTGTAAAGGTTTTCGGGGCAGCTCTCATCAGGCAATGAGTAAGTATGGCTGACTTTTACCTTTCTCAAGCAAGAGATGAAAGGCTTGTCAACGTGGGCCATTCCTCTGGGACAGACACAGGTAGGTTTTGGATAAAATGTATCTAGATCTACCTGAGTCAAGCAAGTTGAGTTCTTGACCCATTGAAGTTTCTGCTGCATATGGTCACCAAAATGTGAACGCTGCCTTTGTTCCCAGGGTCAGAAGATATGTGAAGGGTTTCGGAGGGAGAAAACCTGCATTTGAACCCTCTCCATGACATTCCCAAAGACTCGCCTTTGGGTTTGTAAATCATCACTTTCCTGTTCTGTCAAATGGGTGCCATTACTCCCAGTTTGAGTGATAGTGTTGCCCTCGGAGGGAAGGAGCTACCCAAGTGTCTGCACTTCATAGAGTGTGGAGCCTTTTGTGGAGTGTGATGCCAGTATTCTTCAAGCTGAAGAGGAAATGATGACAGTATCATAATAGCCATCCTCCTTCTGTCTTTCTCCTTCCAGTCGTCAAGCAGTGATAATGAAAGAAACCACAGCAGCATCAATAACCCAGTACGAGGAAGTGTACCAGAAAGCAGCTTAAACCAGAACATTGCTGAACGTTACTCCAATATCCCCGAGTTCTCACAGGAGGACTATGCACTGTGCCAAGGCCAAAGTGCTTACTCCATCATTAACCAGATCTTGAAGGAAGCCCATTTCTACAGCCTACAGCAGAGAGGACAATCACCGACGTGATGACCTGGGTGCTCCTCCTCTCTTCTTTATAAAAAGCAATGACATTGACACAAGGCAGTCTTGGCTTTTGTCTGTATTTTCAGTAGGATTTAATGGGCATTTGTACTCTTTTGCTGTTTTCTCCACCACTGCAATTTCAGAGGGTCTTTCGTGACAGTTTGATATGTTTTCTGCCACGTCTGTTGCCTAATTCATGTTAAAATAGCAGCATGAGGATTTCTCCTGATTCTGAATGGTTTGTTTGTCCCATTCAGGTTGGGTTCCAAGTGACTCATTTAGGGTCTCCATGTTAAATGTTCTTGTATAATGTGACCCCTCCTTCTGAGAAGCTAAGGCACATTAAAGAATGCGTACTTTCCCTTAAAACATGAAAGAGGAAACAACAGCAGCGAATAAGCCAACACCAAAGCAGCAATGAGCATTGATTAGAGGGAGAATGGGGCTTGTTCTCATTCTGAAATGAGTGGCAGGGCAGCTCCTCAGAAAGAAGATTTCCTACCTATAATGGCACAAATTTCTGCCTCTGCAATCGTGAACGTGAAGACTGGATCGGGTATCTGCACTCCACATTCTGAGTGAGAAGGTTTCTTCCTTTAATGCTCCATTGTTTGCCCATCAGGCTTTATGTAAAGCACCTGTAATTCTGTCAGAGATTAAGTGCAAAATGTAGATATGAACGGCTTGTGTGTTGTTCCTCGCAGTTCCATCCATGATGTGTAATGTTGATAAAGACTAAACTACTGCACACAATACCTGACTAAAGAGCTATTGGAAAGCTGGGTGGGATGATTGTTCCTTGTATAACAAGTTTTTCACGTGGATGAGGGCGTCTCACACCATCAAAATCAGTGCAGTTGTTTGGGGCAGGTTGGGCCAGTGGAACAGGGCCTGCCCAGCCTGTGTCAGACCCCAGGAATGCTAAAACTATCAGTACAATTAATGTGGCTTATGATGAGTGAACTGAGGTGCCATTAGAAGAAACAGACAATGCCACTTAATGATGAACCTATCCCCATGAATTGTCATATCGAGCAGCCAAACAGCCTGTGCAGGGGGACTCCCTTCCTTAATGCCCATGCTTTCTCAATGATTGGGTCAGTGATAAGGAATAAAAAAGCATCTATTCCATCTACCCTGTAGCCATGAGAGTTACACAGTTTTCACATTTACGGAGAAGAGGCTTGTTCTGTTTGTGAAGCCAGCGCTCAATGCAGGGAACCACAGGCCACGCAGAGGACATGTGTTAATGGTTAATGTTTCCCAAGTGGGAGAAGCAGATCTTCAGGAGAGGATGTTAGTGTTCTTGGCAGGCGACAGTAAACAGACACTCAGTTAATGATTTCTCTGTAAGAGTGAGGCACACAACCAAATAATAAAAAGGAGAAGGAATCTGCAGTCTGAAACTGCATGCATGCAGCACAATTCAGGAGCACCTAAGGAGAGCAGTGCAGGGTGACATCTATGGCAGGCTGCCCATCTGGGTTTGAACCACTATCAGTCATGCAGGAGAGTCATCTTTGGAGCAAGGTGCTTTTCACGTAGCTTGACAATCAGGGTACCATTCCTCGCAATCACATAATGGAAAGAGAGAACAGACTCTAGAAAGAAGTCCTCTACCCTCTTGAAAAACTCTCTCATCTCACATTTGACCAGAGCTGGCCTGGAACTCTATGTATACCAGGCTGGCCTGGAACACATGCCGGTCAGCTTGCTTCTGCCTCCTGTTTGCTAGGATGGATTTCTTGTGCCATCATGTCTGGCCTTTCTAAAACATTTGTTTGTAATTGTTTGTAAAGTCAGGCTCATCCTATGTGACCTAGTCTGAACTGGAATGACTGTGTACCTCCAGCTGGACCCTAACTTCTGCAAATCTGCCTCCTCCAAGAGTCTGACTCTCTTGTCCTGGTAAATACATTGTGCCATCCCCGTACTGTCTTTTGCAAGTAATTTAGCTGTTTATCACCAGCCTATGTCCTAACAGCTCCCAAGTATTTATTGAATCGGTATAAGCCTGACCTCCATAACAGTCCCTCTGGTAATATAAAGTATTTTCCAAGACTGGTGATGGAGAGAAGCGACCCTTTTCTACTGGAGTCTAGAACCTATAGAAAGGGAAGAATATTTCACCAGGGACGATAAGGGGCTAGTGTTCAGAGAGTAAGGACCTAACTGACCTTTGGAACAACCCAGTATGGACTCCAACCCCAGTGTGGTCCTCCCAGCACCCCTGGAGACAGAAGTAGGTTGAGGCTGCAAGTCACAGGCAGGGAGGGAAACTTGCTGCCAAGTCATCCACCTGTGCAATCAGATCCTGAAGAATGTGACAGGAGTCCATGAGCAGCAAAAGACACACAACTGGAGAGAAAAACACCAGCGTTGAAAACCAGGTCTCTCCAACTTAGTACAAGCTCCCTTTGCACTAATGCAAGTGGGCTGTTTTAGGCAAGACTGGTTTCATTGCATTGTGACACTTGACAGTATTTAAGCATGCTCATACCATGATGACCATATTCAGTGGAGCTGAGACCAAGGAACAGTATCTCTCATTCTTCCTCCCTTCCACCTTTCTGGTTCTCTGTCTCCTCCTCACTCTCTGCTCTCTCTCTCTCTCTCTCTCTCTCTCTCTCTCTCTCTCTCTCTCTCTTTCTTTCTCTCTCTCTCTCTCCCTGACTTAACTCCCTCCATCTGCACTTTAAGAACTTTGACCTGAAACCCACATTGTCCCGATGGTTTTTCATTCGTAACTACTGTTCAATTGCACGGATACTTACATCATCTCTAGCCACGATGACTTTGGGTATTCATGGCCACAGGCCAGATAGATATTTTGCCTGAAGTTAAAACAGATGGAGTTTTATGGATAAACTGCCTGGAGGCCATGTTTGAACACATGGAATGACTGCTGGACAGGTCCTAATGAGCAGAGGAGTTGCTTATGTACTCCCCCAGATTTCATATCGCCTCCAAATTTGTGAGGTTCCTCAGTTGGGCCAATGGCAGAAGGCACTGGTTTCCCTTTGAGGTTTTGCACTTGAGACATAATAGTCACCTGCATGATATCACAGTCCTCTTGCCTTTCCTTGCTTGTTTGTGGTCCCTGCTGCAGATTAGCACAACCAGTATATTATTCCCTCTGGAGAATCCTTTTCTGTCTACTTGACCACAGCACAGGACAGACTGATGCAAGGTCACTTTGAGGTCTCCAGAAAATCTCAACTTTTGAAGGATTTGGTGAACTCCTGTGCCATTCTCTGCACCATCATCATTTCCCCCATATCCTGTGAGGGATGTATCCTAAGATCACTTGAGTTCCCACCAAGTGAGGGAAATTTCGGAGCTTACTTTGATTAATGACTGTTTTTTCATCCTGTTCTGCTTGGGAACAATCTTGGGGATTATGACCAGGTTGATTTCTCAAAAGAATAAATGGTTAACCTTGTAAACTATGACTAGAGAGGCGACAGTCAACATTCTTGGCAAGATAGATGTCTCAGCTGGATTTTAGTTCCTCGTTTGTTCTTTGGACTTTTCTTCAAGTTTTGTTAAAAGGTTTGATGTGGACCAGGTGTAGAAAGATGTCAAGCCTTCTTGACCTGTGTGAGAGGTCCATACTGTTACAATCCTGCGGATCTGGCCTTTCCCACACTGTGGTCAGTGCATTTTCATATGCCAAGATTTCCTATTGCATACAAAAAACTTAGTTGCTGATTTTCAAGACACCATGAAGCTTGCAGACTAAATGAAGCTAAAAAACCAGCGCAGATAACTAATGGCCCTCTGGGAGAAACTGTACTGTTCAATTCTTCTCTTGGAAGAAGAAATCTGCCCAAGTCCTTGTCTTCAAATACAAATGAAGAAAAAGCCTGTTGGTGGAGGCCTGTAATCCCAGCTAGCCTGGAATCTGAGGCAGAAGAATCATCTTCTGTAAGGCATGGCTACAGACTGAGTTCAAGGACAGCCTGTATAGGGTCCTGAGACTTTCAGTCAAAAGAAAATATCAGTGGAGAAGTCTGGAAATATAGACGAGTAGTAACATATATCTACCATGTAACAGGTCCTAGGTCCAATACCCCGTATTGACAGACAAAAGTAAACACACCCAAATAAATAAAAACCCAACCAAAGTCTGTAAATGAAATAGAAGATATTTCCTACATAGACATCTCTCAGGAGTCAATGTAAGTATGAGATCAGACTGGGTCTTCTTTCTTGCTAGTGACAAGGTGCAAGGCTGTAATGTCACACTCAGGGACAATATGCTGGTAAGTTACTCACCAAATAGGACTGAATGGTTGCAATCACAACCTTCATTGCCACTTTCTTTAACACCACTTGACCCAGTTGTATCCCTGTTTCTCAGGACTGGGGACAAGAGATTTCTAAAGCTCATCTTAAGGACAGTCAGTCTTGAGTCTCCTTCGTGTTCTGAGACTTCTCATGATTGATGTTGACTTGAGACACATCCTTGTGGTTTCTGAGCTCTCTGTGTGGCCTTGGGTACATTTGCTGAAATTCTAACAGTCTTGCACTGCCTGGGAGTATTCAGTGATGAAAGGACTGTTTTTACTTTGAAACTGTTGTGGGCATGTGGTTGTCCTTGGTACACTCCACAGTACTCTGCCATTGGCCCAAGTACAATATGAGATGCACTTGCCTAATGCTGTAGACTGATTTCAGGGCTTCTTTTGCAGAGTCCACCTGGGCTTTTGGTATCACTTCTAACCCCATCATAGGATACTGAGGTACCATCGAGTTCTTATCAGAGTATTTTGTGGACATCATTTTCCCATTTCAAGGTCTGGAATGCTCTTTAGGATAGAGGACATCCACATTAATATTTCTTTGAATGCAATTGTGATGACTTGTAGAAAGTATCATTGCAAGTACAGGGATCTAGTGAGGGAAATGATGATCTCTTGGCAGCAATAGCGACCTAACCACTGCTATAAAGTAAACTGCCCAATCCCTTGCCCCTGTACCACAATGTTTGCTTTATGGATCAGTATGAGTGGCTACCACTTAAGACTGACCTTGTAACACCCTGCTCCTCACT